GAAAATAGGTGTCAGTCACATTGAGATTTAAACTTAGGTCAGTCCAACTTGTGAGCTGTCTACCGGGATACAGTCACACAACAGCCTAACAGTGCACTGTTAGATGTTTAACAAGCTCCCCAGGAAAGTTAAACAGCTCTGATTTGTAGTATTTGTTGACTCCTCATGAGGACCTCACCATGCCAAGTTTCTGAGTACTGAACAATTGGCAACCTAGCCTGAACGAGCTGGTTGCATCAGTCCAGCCATAGCCCAACAAGCACCAGGCTTTGAGGTCTGCCCATGGACTGTAAGGATAATCCAGCAGAATCTCAAACTCCCTTTAGCCTGCCTGAAAGGATATCTTACATTTCACACCCAGGGCAGCTGTTCATTAAAGAGGCCAGTTTTAATAACCCAAAGTCCTTCCTTCAGAGACACTTACTTTAAAAATGTGGCTCATTTCCCCCTCTCAGACCTTGCAAACTATTTCCCATTTTATATGGGGGCGGGGTAGTTTCCATGGAGCTAGCTTGTTTGTTCCCAGTTACAGCTCTGTCCTAGAGAAGGTCTCAGACTGAGCCTGGCCAGGCCCAGATTTTCTACCCCTGGAGCTGTTTTTCCAGGAACCCATAAAACTTCACAAGGCCTATGGCTTCGGTTTTCCCTCTTTGGAGGTTGTGGCTCGAATCCTTTGACTTGCCGGTAGAAGATTGACACATGGTTATTTATATCTCACCGAAGCCACTGGAAAGGAGAGGGATGGCTTTTGCCTCTTGGGCTTACAATGGATGCCTTAACTCCCTGTCCTGTCTGGGATGGCCTCCAACCAGAACACAGGAATCTGGCAACAAGGTGAGATGACTGAGTGACAAGGAGTGACAAGGAGTGGTGACAGAGGGACACAAGAGGACAGGACAGAACCAGGAAAGATGTTATCACACTCATAGCAACAACAAACAAGCAAGGAGGTTGGAATCCTTCCAGGGTATTCCAAGCTAGCGAGGCCGATTCTTCCTTACCGGAGGGAAGCTACAGAGACAGGCTCTCAGGGGAGGGGGCACCAGACCCTTCCACCTTCAGGGGACTGACCAGATCAAGTTCTTTCTTCAGCTCCTCTTTCTCATGACTCTTATTGGGTTCCGAGTCCTTGTCCTTCACCCCCTTGAACTTCGTGTCTTCTCTCTGGTCGATCTGATTGACATCTTTAGTTCCATTGAGCTCCACAGAATAAATTTTTGGTGTTTTCTGGAAGAGAAGCAGAGGTGCAATATTAGCCCCCAGAGAGGTTTTCTTGAGGAGTTGCAAAGTTGCTCCTAGAGAGTGAGGAGATGCCCAGAAGAGTGCCGGCCCCCCTCCTCCCCACCTGGAGAGGAAGTAGAGGACAGACTGTGGGACATCTCCTTCCTCCCCTTCCAAAAATATTTCCCATCCTCTCTGTGGAGACAGGAGGCTTGGTTGGCATAGCCCTGGCAGCGTCTTGTCAAGGACCCCTTCTCTGGGGTCCAGTTTCTCTAGCACCTAGGTCCATGGGTCACACCAGATGTGTCATCTTTTTTCTTAAGGAAGGGGTGTAGTTCCAAGCAGGCTCACTGTAAGCATGGCTTTTCAGACTACCTTGCATCCAACAGAAGCCTAGCGTACATCTCCAAACAGGAGCTTTCAGAGCAGGTGTTGTGTGGCTGGCTTGGCAACCCTGGGGACCCTAACTACACATCTATACTAACGTCTATACACTGCCAGCCCAATTTACCGTATATATTCTTGGCGACTGGAAGTGAGTCTAGTGTTAAGATTGCCCACCCCCTATTGTCCCGAGACCCAGCATTTCTTTTTCTTTTCCCAGCGCTTCCCGATGGTCTCCTAAGGTCCCCACTAGACGTGGAGGCTGCACGCACCCGGCGCATTCTGTGGCTGGTAGTTCAACACTCTGGCAGATGGATGTGAGGGCACGGGATGCGGGTGTGCTGCTGCTGTGGTGAGCCGGGCTGGGTTTAAGATGCGCGTTGTCTTAGCGGCAAGCCAGGCTGTGATGTGTGATGCGCAGAGACAATCCCGATCTGGTGGTGGCGGTGGCCGCGGCCGCGGCGGTGTGCAGACCCTGGTTCCTGAGAGGTGACCGCGGCGATGTTGGCGTTGCAGAGGCAGGCGCCGACCCGGACTCTGCATGCACCTCCGCGGCCGAAGCCAGCCGCTGTCCCGAGGAGGTGGCGTGCGCCTTAAATGCGGCGCGCTCCGCCCACGTACCTGGGGCGACTCAGCTCACACGACCGGGGACGCCCCTGGGGTATGAAACCCGAGGGTGCGCAGGCCTGGGCGGGGTGGGATTGGTGGCCAGAGATCTGAGGTTCTAAGGTGGCGGCCCCTCTTTATACCTGGCTGGGGGATCTGGGGTCTCCCTTAGGGCGGGTCTGGCGACCGCTCTCAGCCAGTGGCGCAACAACAGTGGCACGCGCCAGGTGCGTGCAGCCCCTGTGTGCACCACGAACTCTTGTCTGTCTGATCCCGGGCTCCTGGAAGTCCAGGGGCGCACCCACGCCCTGGGGAGCTTTTGTGAAAATCCACACCCACTTTCTTTTAAAAATGCAGTTTTCTTACCAATAAAGGAATTTATAAAAGTATGTAAACGGGGGAGGGGTTGGGGGTTGCAGTTCCTAGCAGCAAGTGTGACCTGGCAATAAATACCGATTCTAGAGTGGATTTACATAGGTAAGTGAGGCTCCGGAGCAGCCTGGGCTAACTGCCAAAGACTTTAAGGAGTAGCTGAACTACTTTGTAAAGACCCAGAAAAGATATAAAATTCTGCAGTTTTAAAAAGATATTGGAAGGAGAGAGGACAAGGGGACCTGGGGCAGGTACAGCGGCTTTAGGAATGTTAGGTCAGAGCTCCTGGGGGTGGGGTGGGGTAGCAGCTGAGGGTGTGCAGAGCCCAGGCTTTGGGTGCTACTTTGATGATACTGGTGGATAGCCCTGTGCTCCACAATGCCGCTCACACGTGCTTCTCTTTCAGCTCCCTCCTGCCTGTCCTCCCTTCTTCCTGCTGTCCAAAAGGGCAAAATTTGAACTCTAGGGTTTTCCTACTGTGGACCAGGAAGACAACGCGAGTCCCAACTCTTGAGGGTTGGGAAGACTCGTTGGGGTATATCTGGTATGTAGACACACTCCCCAGATTCTTCAGCGTTGCAGGGATGTGATGTTCTAATCCAGCTTTGAGCAACGGTGGACTTCTGGAGAGCTCTATATCGTCTTCCCTGATCCCTCCAGTGAAGAATGTTATTCTAAAGAAAGAATTTTGCAGATAAGAAGGAAACACAAGCCAGGCAGTAATGGCGCACGCCTTTAATTCCAGCACTTGGGAGGCAGAGGCAGGCGGATCTCTGTGAGTTCCAGGCCAGCCTGGTCTACAGAGTGAGTTTCAGGGCAGGCTCCAAACCTACACAAAGAAACCTTGTCTCAAAAACAAAACAAAACAAAACAAAAAATAAAAGGAAACACAAAATCTGTGTGAAGCAGCTGTTCCACCATTTGCTTGGGGTCTGGGGGCTGTTCCCCCTGCCCCCCACCCCCGGGTCCAGGTGGCTTTTATTTATTTCCAGCGGTTCTAGCCAGCCTTTAAGTCTGGAACCAACCTAGGCTAGAGAAGTGAGATTCCAGGAGATGTTCTTAGCTCAAGGCCAGTCAGTACGCAGTTTCAAATGCAAACACAGACGCCAGACTTGGGGTGGGGCGGGTGGGGAGGGGGCTCGGAGAATGGGAAGTGCCGGCAAGACTTCACAAAATAGTATGTAGAGTACTTAGAAGGGGGCTGGCTGTATGTCTGTGTCAAGTGTAGCGTGGTATGACATCAAACTGGACAACAGTTTCCACTATCTGGTACTTTGGTACCTCCTAGGTTTTGCAGAGTTGAAGTTCTGCTCAGCTGCGGGGTCCTGCACAGTTCCTGGTTTCTGCCAGGGACAGTCTTAGCTCCGGTCACTGCCTTGGCCATTGTGGTAGTCCCTAGTGTCATGTGATACCTGGAAGTCTTGATTTCTACCAAAGAAGAAAAGAGTGGGGCCATAATCTTTACTGCTTCTAGTCTCCTGGGCATCCCTCTGTGCTGTGAGGAGAGCAGTCCTCACAGACCCAGGTATTGGATTTTTGCCTTAGGCACAAACTCCTCTTCATTTGACCGGAGACTGTACCCAGTGGTATTCTGGGCAAAGGGGCTCTGAGAAGCCTAGATCTGGCTCATGGACTGGCTTTGAAGAAGGGCAAGCTCGGGCAAGCTCAGGCACACCTCCTCAGCACACAGTCTCTAATAGAACTGCTTTTTGAGGCTGAATTTCCTGTCTTCAAAAGAATCCCACCTATGCCGAGGGCCTGTTCCATCACCGATCTTATCGACAGATGACGGGATAGCCTGCCATGAGATATCATGTATTCCTAGCTTGCTCTTCTGAGTTCACATATTCAATATCTTTTGAAGTCTTACTAGACATGGGGTGACAGCATAAAAATTGTGTCATTCTCTGCCCTGTAGAAATTATGGTTGAGTCCATAATTAGTGAGGAAAAAAATAATGACTGACATAAGAGAAAAATTATTTAGAACTAAATGGTACGGGTCTAAAACCATTAAGAATTTAAAGAAATAAAAACATCCATGGGGGGGGTGGTATGTTTTAAACTTCCTCCTCAAAATTCACATTGAAATTTAATCCTCCTTGAAAAGTCTCACTAAAGAGGTCAGATCAAGATGTAGTTCAGTGGTAAGGTGTTACTTCCTTGTATAGGAAAACAAACAAGCAAATAAAGAAAACACAGGAGTGGGACCAGACATTGCCTTTAAGAAGGGATTAGGTCCAGCCTGGGCTACAAAGTGAGTTCCAGGAAAGGTGCCAAAACTACACACACACACACACACACACACACACACACACACACACACACACATACTGGATTAGGTCATAACGGCCCTGCCTCCGTGAGTGGATTAGCCAAGTCAAGGGTTGATGAGTGAATGGATCTGCCATGCAAGGCTTTGTCCCTTGGATGCACCCCTCTTGCCGCTTGACGCCTTGTATTTCTTGGTTCTCTGCAGAGTCCACGACCGTCACCAGACGCAGCCTTCAGAATAATGAACCAAATTAAGCCTCTCATCTTGATAAATCATCCAGCCTCATGTGTTCTGTCATCACAGCAAAAACAGACCAAGGTAGGGGAATGGGATGATTTTTTTTATTGCTTGGCCTCCTTGGCTTTTCTTTCTTTCCCTACAATTTAGAATTCTTCTAGGTTCCTTGACCGAACTCTCCCTCCCCCGCTCCCCCGCCCCGCCCCCAGCCTGCAAGGTCTGGTGTAGAGGGCTGTTCACCAGCTGGCTATGAGGTGTGACTGTGGAGATCCAAACGGACAGGGAAAAGGGCCCAGGTGACAACTGGAAAAGGAAGCTCTACCTCCTGTTTCACATCCGGACAGGCTGGTGCCTCTCCTGCCCACTCGCCCTCTTCTTGTCTCTGGATTCCTCTCCTACACAGTGGACTGGCCCCACCCAAAGCCCTCCCCACACACCTGCATCTCCCCAGTGTGCCAGGCTATGACTGGGCAAGCATTTCTCTGCTGACCAGCACTGCCTGGCATTGAAATGAGAATGGAAAAAACAAAAGCAAAACAAGGCTGCAGCCTAACACACCTCTCTATTGTTTCCTCATTTCTTCATTATAGGAAATGCCGCGATTGGAATAGGAACGTCCTGCCAGGGAAGAAGGCTGCTGTTCAGAAACTGACTCATAAACTTCAGTACAAATTCTGCTCAGGGCTGCTAAAGACTGAGGCCAGAGCCAACAGTGGCATTAGCAGAAGCATAAAGGGGCTGTCGGGGGTTCAGCAGAGTCAATGGGTTTGCCCCAGGGCATACTCTTCCCCTCTCTTGTGGCTAGCTCCCTTGAAATGTAGTGCTCCTGGGACATAGTAGCTTACCCAGTGTTTATTCCCTGCCACTTGGTTTCAGTAGTAAGAAGCTTTCAAATTGTGTGTGTGTGTGTGTGTGTGTGTGTGTGTGTGTGTATGTGTGTGTGTGTGTGTGTGTGTATGTGTTGTTATTGTTATTTTGTCTGAAACAAGATCAGCAAGTTCATGTATCTTAGGCTGGCCCTGAATTCACTATGTATAGTCCAGGATGGCCTTGAACTGGCAGGGGTCTTTCTGCCTCAGGTTCCAACAGGTTGGAGTTATAGGCATTGGACATTATGCCTGCCTTAAAATAAATTATATTTAAAGTGTACAGTATGATGTTTTGATAGATGCAGCAAGATTTACTGGATTCCAACTGGCTAATACATCCACCTTCTCACATTATTATTATTATTATTATTATTATTATTATTATTATTATTATTTTGTAATAAGAGCCCAAAGCTACCCTCTTAGCTGATTTCCAGCACACAGTATTGTAACTGTAGTCCTTGTCTTGTGTTTAGCTCCTGGGAGTATTGACTCTACTTGCTTTCTGCATTATAGCCCTCAACATTCCCCACTTCTAACCCCATAAGATACTGTTTCAGAAAACAAAAACTATCTTTTTCCTCTTTGAGACAGGCTGGCTTTGAACTCCTGGACTGAAGCAGTCCTCCCATCTGAGCCCCCTAAGTGCTGGGACGATAGATATATCACTATGCTTGGCTTAACTCTTTCCTTTGAAGAGGCAATTGGAAAAAATGATTGTAATCAGAACCTAGTCTAGAAAATCCCTCAAAGGCATATTCAGAGGCTATTGTTCCCATAGGTTCACAACCATCTTATAATACTAAAATACATTCAATTAAAATTATGCTTCCTCTGACAAAGCCACACCTCCTAATAGTGCTACTCCTTATGGGCCTCTGGGGGCCATTTTCATTCAAACCACCACAGCAGGTTTGGTTACACATTTGTGTGTGTGTTATGTGGAAGTCAGAAGACAACTTGTGGGAATTGGTTCTCTCCTACAGTGTGTGTTCCGGAGACTGCACTCAAGTCTCATGCTTGGCATCAGACATCTGGAGTCATCACCTGGTATTTTCTTTCACACGGTGCTGGAGACTGAACCAGGGCATCCTGCATGGTAACCGAGCACCCTACCTCAGTTACAGGGCTGCTCTGCCACAGGCACTTTTGCAAAGCGACTTAAGGGAGAAGGGGCTTGTTTCCCCTCACGGTTTAGGGGGACAGTCCATCATGGTAGGTGTTGGAGGCAGCCGGTCACATTGCACCCAGTCACGAAACAGAAAGTGATGCTAGTGCCCAGCTCACCCTCCCTTTTTTTTTTTTTTTTTTTTTTTTTTTTTTTTGGTTTTTCGAGACAGGGTTTCTCTGTGTAGCTTTGCGCCTTTTCTGGATCTCGCTCTGTAGACCAGGCTGGCCTCGAACTCACAGAGATCCGCCTGGCTCTGCCTCCCGAGTGCTGGGATTAAAGGCGTGTGCCACCACCGCCGCTCCGGCATCACCCTCCCTTTTTTATTCAGCCTGGGAACCCAGCCCATAGAGTGGTGCCAAAACATTTGGTGCAGGATTTCCCACCTCAATGAACCTAGTCTAGAAAAATCCCTCAAAGGCATACTCAGAGGCTTATTTCCCTGGTGACTCCGAAGCCTATCATGTTGACAAACCAGGTTAACCATACAACTCCACCCCTTGTCAACTCGACACACAAACCTACCACTTTTAAACACAACCTTCCATCCCTGTAGTCCCTGTAGGTTCACAGCCATCTTATAATACTAAAATATTTTCAATTAAAATTAAGAAATACCCATAGTCTTTAACAGTTTCAACATTGTTTAAAAGTCCAAAGTCTGAGTCTCCTCTGAGACACAAGGAAATCTCTTAACTGTGCTCTTATAAAATAAAAACAAGCTACATACTTTCACTATACAGTGGCAGAGAACAAACATTCCCATTCCAAAAGGGAAGAGTGAGGGCAGAGCAAGGAATAATTGGACCAAAGTGAGGCTGAAACCTAGCAGGGAAGACACCAAATCTTACAGCTCTGCATTAGGCATCTAGGGACCATGATGGATTAATCTGTGCTCCAAAAGTTTTGGGTTTCCCTGTGCTCCCAGCTCTACTGTTTATGGTACACACAGCCTCTCTCTTGGGCCAGCTCCACTCCATGCCCCAAACTTTGCTCAGTTGACATTCCATGATGTTGGTATCTCCAATGTCCTGGGATATTCACCTTCACAGCTTCTTTCAGTGGTCTTTCAAAGACCCCCTTGTATGGATTCCAACTCTGCTTCACATTACCTGGTCTTAGAAGCTTTCTGGAATTGTGAAGTAAGATTCTGTGACACGCCCCCTCCCCCTCCAAGTCTTGTCTCTTTCATGATTACAAAATTGGTACCATGTGGATGATGTTGCCAAATTCTGCTGCTAGCTCCAGATGGACCTGGACCCCCTTACATCATTGTGTGGCATTGAGTGGCCATGTGCCTTCCAGGTCGACTCTGGGGAACCATATCCTTAGATGATTGTTTTGGAACAGGGTTGTTTTGGCTTCATTCACAGTTGAGGTGGCTTTGTCCTCTCAAATAACTTCACATTTTCAAAAGTTGGAGCCTTTGATGATAGGGTCTTGTCCTCAAGGCACCTTTCTTACTGTCCCAGTGCAGAGTAAGTGACTTCCCTTGAACAATTACAACCTCTTTTTCAGTACCTGCCTTGGCTGTCACTTCCTCAGCCTGAATGCTCTTCTGCTGTGACATTTTTTTCCATCGCACAAATCCATTATCTTTAAATGCAACTTCAAGTTCTCAGGTCCTGAGCAGGATTCTTTGCTAGAACAGCACATGAATGACCTATAGCCCAGTTCCCGATAGAGACCTTGTTCTCCTCGGAGACCTCTTGACCTGGGTCTCTACTGTCTTCATTTTTCTCATCATTCTGATCTTCAAAATTGCTACAGAATAGCCCATCACACTCTGCTTTCAGTGTTCTAGGGCTTTTCTAGCCCAAAGTTCCAAACCCTTCTATATTTCTCCTGCAAAGCAATTCCAAAGACCTAAGAACCACATGATTTGCTTTGTCCAATCACACTAATTTTCTGTGTTAGTTACTTTTTTGTAGCTGTGATAAAAAAAAAAAAAAACGACAAAAGCAATTTATGGGAGAAAGTACTTGTTTTAGATTACAGTTTGAGGGCAGCAATCGGGACATGAGGATCTGGGCCACTTGTCATCATTGATTCCGAAATCAGGATGCAGAGTGTGAGGATGCCTGTGGTCAGCTCATTTTCTCCTTTTTATTCTGTCTGGAACCCCAGCCTGTGGAAATAGTGTAACCACAGTTAGGGTGGGTTTTTCCGCCACAATTAACCTGATTGAGGAAATCCTTCACAGACATACTCAGAAGCTTGTTATCGTGGTAACTCTAAATCCCATTAAGTTGACAATCCTAATTAACCATCACAAGCATGCCTGAGATTGATAGTTAAGATTGTCAACTTGATAGAATTTAGAATTACCATGGAAACAAATCTCTGGTGGTGTCTGTGAGAGAGTATCCAGATTAGGTTAAGTGAAATGGGAAGGCCCGCCTGAAATATGCCCATTCTATGGGCTGAGGTTTAGGACCCAAGTAAAGGAGAAGACAAGCTCAGTACACACATTCATCACTGTCTCCTGCCTATGGATGCAATGTGACCAGTTGTCCCAAACTCCTGCCACCCTGATTTTCTTGCTACAACAGACTGTACCCTGGAAATGGGAGCCAAAAGAAACCCCTTGTCCTTATATTGCCTTTGTCAGGCATTTCATTGCAGCAACAAGGTAAGGAAGTGATACATATACACAGTAGGTATAATTTGCTTTATCAAGAATCTTTGAAGCTAGGTGTGGTGGCACATACTGACAATCCCAGCACCCCACAGTTTGAGGCAGGAGGATTATTAGTTCCCAAACAGCTCAAGTTACAGACTGAGATCCTGTCCTATGAAACTAAAACAAAAAGAGCCTTGAAATGAAACCAGGCAAAAGGCCAATGACATTCAGCCAGCCTATTAGAAAAGCTGAGATGACTCCTTCCCTTCCATGCCCACAATAAACGTATATTTATGCACCATTCTCAAGGTGAGCAGAGCTATTTTAAGAGCCACGGTAGAGAATATCATAAGAGGCACGGTCCCTCTTGTGTACACATTACTAGTTGATCTACTAGCATAAGAAAGGTCAAGTTTAAGTGATGATCCAAGGGAATTAAATGAGGCAACATTTCAGATTGCAGTTTTTTTTTTTTTCCAGTGATGCAAAGGAAGCTTGCCCATTCCTCACATTTCCATGCTTGAGAGGATGATGCCAGGTTAGGTTTGGGGGTGTTTTAGAAGAATGACCTTGACCTTCTACAGTCAGGGTTGCAACAATGTTGCATACATAGTGATTACTTCACTATCTCGGCCATCTCTTTTTCCTTGATGTACTTTGAATAATTGTCCGTGATTACTCAACAGCTCAAGTCAGCATGAAGTAAGTTACTCTGACTCTGTGAATGTACCTGAAACCAGAACTTGGAAATAACAAAAACTTACTCTTGAAAGTGGGACAGCAGGTAACCCTGGAGCCATTTACTCCAGGCCTAGGCTCAGTTCTTATTGATCTAGAGAGTGTCTCACCACCCACAAAAGGAGGATTAAAACCTTGTAGAGGGCACAAGGTCCTTGTGCCCACAGATAAGCACTGGGAAAACCAGGAATGTAAAATACACAAGCTTGTCTCTTCAACAAAAGGGATGTTACCTGTTTCCCACCCAGAAGACTGGGAATGGATGTAGTTAATAGCCTGGTGATCTTCACTATCTGTAGGGCCAGGCTACCCCTGAGTCCACCAGACTATTATGTTTATCCCAGACTCTTCCTCCATAGACCTTTATCCTGAGCACTGTTTCTCAGGCAACAGAACCCATCTTTATGGAAGAGGCCATATGTACTCTGTAAAGATTTTCAATGTAAACATGTCTCAGCTTTGTTGTAGACATGGGATTGAGTTAATTATCATCAGGACACTTTTTTCCACAGTTGTGCTGTGCTTAAATATGCCTAAACATGCCCAGCGTCAGACTCTAGAAATTTGAACCAACACTGGCTATTGAGTCGTGTTGAACTGAATTTCCTTCTTGCCTCATTCAGATCATTACTCTGCCTGTCCTGGCATTTGCAGGTGTCCAATTTGAGGGGCTCAACCCTCAAAGAAGGTGAGGAAATTTTTCCTTAAGTAGAAATAGGGGGTATGATTTCCTGTCCTCCCACCCAAGGGG